ATAAAAATAAAATATCATTTTAAAAGCTTTTAGCATTTTTGTCCCTCTGTACATGTGTGGGTAGGAGATGACTGTGGGGAGAAAGTCGTGGGCAGTTTTTAACTCTTTATGCCCCAGCTTCACACCCAGACCAAAATATCCCTCTCTCTCTCTCTCTCTCTCTCTCTCTTTCACACACACACACACACACACACACACTTTCATCCATAAAACTTTGGAAAAAGCATTAATTTGTACCAATCGAAGCTTATTTTCAAGCTCAGTTGCTGTGTGGGGGAAAGAGCAATGTGGCAGAGGTGTACATTGGGCAAATAAGCCAGTCCCTACGCCAAAGGATAAAAGGACATAAATCAGACATTAGAAATGGAAATACCCAAAAACTGGTGGCAGAACATTTCAATCTCCCTGGGCATTCCATCTCAGACCTCAGAACAGCTGTTCTTGAACAAAAGAACTACAAAGGTAGATTGGAAAGAGAAACAGCAGAATTGGAGTTCATACCCATAAACTGCAGTCCCTCAGCAATGGACTGAACAAAGACAATGGCTTCCTGACCCACTACACACATTTCAACACCATCTAACCCCATCCTCAGGGGGGCATCCTACACTCATAAATCCAGTACTCATGACTTCTCCTCATGTTAACCAGATCTGCAGGAGCTTTTCAATTTTCTTCCATTAAACTCCTGCCCTCTTGTCTGTCGCTGGCTTCCACTCCACCAAAAGCATCTGGACTGAGGAAGTGGACTAAAGTCTAAGAGGGTTCATGCTGCCAACTTCTTTTTTTCAGTTAGTCTCTAAGGTGCTACAAAATCTCTTTAATACTGATGGCTATATCTTTTAATTCATAACAATTCGGTCTTTAAAAAAGAAAAAAGGGAAAAAATTGGTACCAACAGAAATGTGTTTTTAGGGTGTAGTGGTTTGAGCATTGGGCTATGACTCTGGAGAAAAGAGTTTGAATCCAATCTCAGCCATGAAACCCACTGAGTGACCTTGGGAAAGCCTCAGACAATGGCAATGGCAAAAAAAACCTCTGACGAAATCGTACCAAGAAAACCCCATTATAGTCTCCTTAGCATCACCATAAGTCAGAAACAAGTTGAACACATACAATAAAAACAAGAGCTGTTTCAGGGGCTGGGGCGGAGGAGAGGAGGTTTGACACCTACACCCTGGGGCACTGTAGAAAATGGGAATTTCAGTACTAAATTGCCTGGTGCTCATCCCAATGTAGTGGTTGCTGTGGCTACTGCCTCTGTTTGTTGTTTCCACCAGGCAAGTCCTCCAGGGCCACCCCAGCACCTGTCCTGGCCCACGTATGCAGGCTAGCAGAAGGAGCCAGCAATAGAAGCTAATAAAGGAGAATTTTTAGTCGGGCAAATTTTGAGTCAGGTGAGGAGATGGTAGGAGAGAACACAAAGACACAGGTGCCTTTTTCTGTCCAGTTGTGGCTCCTGCTGAATTAGTGAAGTATTTTGAAGCTAGACAGCCATCGATTTCTCCCCCATCATTAAATGGAATTGAATTTGGTAGCTACAGAAAAGCCCATAATAAGCTCCTGGTAATGAGAAAAAGAAGATTGCATGAGCTAGCAACAGAGAGGATACCATGTGTGCTTGCAGAATATGAGGCCATTTTCTGCATTTTTAGAAGTCATAGTCCCCTGTTCCAGGATAACAACATCAGAATTGTCCAGTCTGGATCAGCCCAAAGGCCTAGTCAAGTCCAGCATTCTATTCCCAAGGTCAACTAGTGGCCTGGCATGAGAGCAAGAAAATATGACCCTTTATTACTTTTTTTCCCAGCAGTTTGTGCAAGTTGTCTCTAAACAAAACTTCTTTCTTATCCCTTAGCACTGCAAAGCACACAAGCTTGACAAGCCCAAAAGACTGGTTTACTAATTGCAAGAGGCAAACAATACATCTAATAGTAGTCTGTGGGTTTTCCAGGTTATGTGGCTGGGTCCTGGAAGAGTTTATTCCTGACATTTTGCCTGCATCTGTGGCTGGCATCTTCAGAGGGTGGTGGCATGGAAGTATGTGGGGAATATATATTTGTGTGACCCTTGGCTGGGTGATGTACATGTTAATCTGTGTATTGGTCTGTTGTTGAATAGCAAGGCCTCAGGGTGGGAGGATATGTGTGTCTATTTAATTAGTGGTCCATTGTCTGCGGGGAACCCCTCCCTGACCCTGGGTGATGTTCATTTCAATGTATTGAGTCTTAGTTTTGGTGTTCTTCAGGACTGGCAGCCAAACTTTGTTTATTTTCAGTGTTTCTTCTTTCCTAAAGCCTCTCTGTGCATTCTGACCTGGTATTTGCTGGCATGGTCCAGAATTTCAGTGTTTTCAAATAGCATTCTATGCCCAGGTTGGTTTATGATGTGTGCTGCTACTGCCGACTTTCTTGGCTGGCTCAGTCTGCAGTATCTCTCATGTTCTTTGATTCATATTTGAACACTGTGTTCAGCGGTCCCTATGTAGACCTGCCCACAGCTTCACGGTAGGCGGTAAATTCCTGCAGCCATTAGAGGGTCTCTTTTGTCCTTCACTAAGCACAGCATATGATGAAATTTCTTGGTTGGTCTATAGATCATTTGAAAGTTGTGTTTCCTTATCAGTTTCCCTATTCTGTCTGTGACACCTCTGATGTATGGTAAAAATACCTTCCCTTTGGGTGGTTGTTTGTCTTCACTCCTGAGGTTTTTTCTAGGTCTGGCAGCCCTTCTGATGTCTGAGCTGAAGTAACCATTAGCCTGTAGAGCCCAGTCTGGGTGCTTCAATTCATCTTTCAGGAAGTGGGGCTCGCAGATCCTTTTTGCACGGTCTACCAGTGCTTTTATTGTGCTTCTTTTTTTACCCTGGTGATGGTTGGAGTTCTTGTGTAGGTATCTGTTCATGTGTGTAGGTTTTCTGTGTGGCCCAATCATTTGTTTGGTTTAGGATGACCAGGAAACCCAAGAATGGTAATGTTCCTTCCTTTTCTTTTTCCATCATGAATTCGATGTTCAGATGGATGTTGTTCAAATGGTTCAAAAACATGGTCAAATCTTCTTCTCTGTGCTCCAAATGGTGATATATCCATCCATATATCAGAAGCATATTTTGGGCTTTCTTGGTGCTGTTTCCAGGGCTTGCTTTTCATAGTGTTCCTTCCATGTAAAAGTTTGCTAGAAACGATATGATCTTGTTTTTGAACTATCTGAACAACATCTACCCGAATATTCAATTCACAATGGGAAAAGAAAAGGAAGGAACATTACCATTCTTAGATATCCTGGAATCTCTAGGTCCTCCAGTGCAACTCCATGGTCCACTTCTGCCAGAGGTTGACCATAGAATCATGCTGAAGGACCTACAAATGCCTAGAGAGGTGTTTTCTCTAGGAATCTCCAGGTCCTCCAGCACAACTCTGTGGTCAACTTCGGTTAGAGTTGCACTGGAGGACCTAGAGATTCTTAGAGAGAACATATTAATCAAATTCACAAATAATCAAATCCACAAAAGTCAAAACCACAAATGTGGAAGCCAATTGTATAGTTATTAGATTTGAGGCAATCCCTTAATGATCTCCTTCCATTTTTCCTTTGCTTCCAGAATCTGGGCCTCAGAGAGTGTCCTTTAATAGCCGTATGTTGTTGTTGTTGTTGTTGTTGTTGTTGTTGTTGTTGTTGTTGTTGTTTCTAGATACATTGTAGCAACCTCCCTGCTTTTTTTCCTTCTTAGGAAGCTATCCATTTGGAATTTCAGCTTGAAACTACACTGTAACTTGGCAACAATAAAAAAATACTAAGTCATATTTTGAGGTAACTGTCATTATTTCTTGATGAGTTATGTTTTCCTCCTCCTGGTTTTTTCCCCTCTCTGTTTTATTTTTCTTAATGTTTTTGGCTTGAAATTTGGCACTGCAGCCTGATGGACAACCCAAAACCTTCTGCCAAATGTTGAGGCATTTAATCTAAGTCCTGATGACTTATGTCTCTCTAGGTACACAAATATTCCCACAAATATATAAATATATTATAGATAGATAAACATTTTAACTAGAATTTTATAATAACTTTTAAATAAACATTTGAGACTTTATTATGCTAAGCAATATAGAAATATCATTCATAAGTTAGTAAAAGCAATTTGGAGGCAGGGAGAGACTGGTTGTAATAACCAATCTGTGTTCTTTTGGTTTCTTCAGTGCCTCTTTCCACTTTTTTGTTCCACATCTTACTTAAGGCAAGTCAAGTGTATGCATTCCAGAATCTATTAAGAAAAGTCTGTTTTGTAAAAATTACTGCTGTTTCAAGCATGTTCTGAAGAACATAGATGAAACAGAAAAAAACATTACAAATTTTCAATGCAGACTAGATGCTTTGAGTTGATTGCTTTTGTTCCATTTACAGCCTCTTGCTTCCTATCGGCATATTAAAGGAGAAATGAAGGACATATAAAAAGCACATGAATATATTAAGCTACCAGACAGACTTCCCACTTATGTAGTGATCTGCCTGTTTCATAAAAGAAAACTGGCAGAAAAATACTGTTGTGACACTTCTGAAGTACACCATGTCTCTTGTCTGTTGAAGAGAACCAGGTCAAGTTTATATGAATGTTTATTACAAAAGAAGTCAGAAACTCAGTAAATGTTAATATTTGCTGGTCACTGTTGGGATTGATAGGAAATAAATTGGATGGTTTATGCTACAAGTTTTCCTTTGTTTTTTGGCAGATGGTATTTCCATTGACTTGATTTGGGCAGGTTCCAAATGGGTGAAACCCATCAAGAAGACTGGAGAATTCCTTTAATTTTCTTTAAATTGGGGAACATAATGATGCAAGAGAGACAAGTTAACAATATGGTGAAATGTAATCTTATACATGATGGCTCCCAAGTAATTCCAGCATGTGTTTAGGCTCAGTTCCCCCTCCCTAAGACTACAGGCCTATCCATGGAATTTTTCTTGGCCAGGGGATTGCTTTAAACCAGGCAAATAAGTTAAGAGCCAGAATGGCATAGTGGTTTCAGCACTGACCTAGGAAGCTGGAGACCAGAGTTCAAATCCCTGCTTAGCCATGGAAACCCATTGGGTGAACCTGGGCAAGTCACACTTTCTCAGCCTCTGAAGGAGGCAAAGTCAACTCCCCCCCAGAACAAATCTTGACCCAAAAAAAACCCCCAAACCCATAATAGAGCTCTCTTAGTGTCACCATGTGTCAGCAATGATTTGAAAGGCACACAAAATAGGCAAGTTAAGGAGGGGCGGGGGTTACAGTCTGTGTGGTCTAAGTCACATCCCTGCTAGTTTGGGTTCACCTAGATGGCTCTCTCTCCCACACACATGCTTCCGAATCTGACACATATACATTCCATCCAGAGGCTAGCCAACTAGGGGAAGGCTGATGTCTGCAGTCCAGTGTTGACTGCTTGTGCCAGTATCTGTAGGGTGGTGAATCCATTCCTAGTTTTAGTTTGAAAGTTAAAGGAGCTGTCCAGGATACTGAACCTACTTTGGGGAAAGGTTTCAGCACCTTGAATAGCTTCCATGTGAGTTCATAATACGACCCAGAGTAGAGTCATCACTCCAGTGATATCAGAGACAACAACAGCTGCCAATGTAGAGCAATAATTCAAGCCTTTCTAGGGCTGTAGAAAGACAAGACCAAATTTGTCTCCCTCAACCTAGTGCCCCCTAGATATGTTGGACTCCAATTCCCATCATTTCCAGCCACCATTATAGCTCCTGCTGCTACTGTATGCTAGGGATGATGAGAGTTGTATCCCCACATGACCAGAGAGCATGAGGTTGGAAAGGACAGTTGTAGAGGAAAGTATATTAGTATATGGGGCATAAAAGCATCCTTTTGAACAGCATTGTCTCATTTGTTAAATTACACTTCCAGAAGAGTATGGACTCCAAGGATTGAGGACTCTGGATTTGATGTTTCTGCACTGATAGCAGAGAGGTTAATAATATTATAGGCATTATAATTTGCCAGTCAAGAAAGCAGGCAACAGGGAGCAAAGATGCAGTTTTATTTATAGAGTACACTTTCCTGATCATCACCTGCAATGAAAATGGGCTTATTTTTAACAGACTGTTTTCCTCCTTGTCAAAACAGCATCATATTAAAAGGGGACTGGGAGAGAAACACCCCACCTGAACAGTAGGGAGCATTTTGTGAACTGGTAAGAGAAACCGCATGGAGAAATCAGCCCTGCTTGCTCAAAACTGTTGCTTGGGGCCAAGCTTGGTAAGCATGATGGCAGAAGACCCATCTCTCCAAAGGTGAGTTTGCCCCCAAATTATGGGGGCCAGTGGTGGCAAGCATCAGCCCTTCAGGTGTTGATGAACTGCTACTCCCATCACACCTCATCAGGGAAGCATTTGGGAAAGTTATGGTATTGGACCATAGGTCCCAATATCCCTCAGCTAGAATAGCTAGTTCCCTGGAGTTCAACAACTGGAGGGCCACAAGTTACCCAGCCCTGCTGCACTTCTTTGTGGTACAGTGCACAAACTGTGCCTCACCACTATGCCCAAAGCTGAGCTCATTCTTCTCCTTAGATTCCATTGAGGAGGGAAAGTGCTTGCTGAAGAGGAATGGGTGGAAAGAGAAAGCTGCAAGCAGGGAGGGAGAGGATATGGCACCACTCATTTGCATGTCACTTTTGATCTGAAAATTGGACCCAGCCATTCCCACTCTCCCATTTTAAGCATAATTGGATCAGAGCTTCCTTAAGAATGTCCACCTGCTGCTACCATGTCTAGTTGGGACTAAAGAAAGTTCAGCCATCTTTCTAGATTACGATCTGCCATTAAACCCAATGATCTTGTTCCTTCCGTATATTGAGGAGACTGTGAGCTCATAGCAAATTTTACCATTACTGGCAGGATTGAAATTGCTGGCAAATGGAAAAAGTGTCAGATCTGGATTGGATTAGAAAGAGTTGTCACACATTATGTACGATAAAATGTGTAATTTAGGGAAGGAAGGAAGAACACTCACAACCGAGCCCTGCTTGATATGAAAGAGATGAAGCACTGTTCTGAGACTGGAGTTTGGTTGCGTGGACCTTTGAATTAGTAGTGAGCCTCATAAAACTATTCAGCTTTATTAGAAGTTCACATCAAGAATGCAGAAAAGAGCCCACACTGAACAACACTGAACTGTCCTTCAATTTGGAAAATGTGTTAAATTTAAACAAGAACAAAAGCCAGCTCCCACAGGATGTCACAGGCAGAACTTTGGAGGCATGCAACATAATCATAAGTGATCCAAATACATTGGGCACCAAATCCTATCTGATTTTGGAAGCTAAGCAGGGTCAGCCTTGGTTAGTACTTTGATGGGAGACCACCAAAGAAGTCCCAGTGCTGGTCCCTCCTCCCATAAAAGTGGCTTTCCAAGCAACTTGCAGATTAAGAAAAAGACCATTTCCACAGAACCCACAGGGTAAAAGACATTTCTTGCAAAGGATGTCCTTATTTGGGAATCACTGTCTAAAAGTTGCAGCATTCCTGCACTAACACAGAATGTTTCTAACTGATGGACTGTTTTGTCAGGTCCAGCTTTTCATGCAGAACTTAGACCTGATGCACAATGAACATGGCCAGCTACTGGTCATTCTTAGCTAGCAGCTGGGGGAACTCTCCTAGAAGGATCTTCTGTTGGCAATATTGATTCCTCTGGAGATGTGGAAGTGTTTCTATCCAGAGATTTTGCAAGAGGAATTGTGGTAATGGTTATGCTGGGAAAGGAAATGGGGAAAGAATCAAGGTGAAAATCTAATCACTGTGCAGTGCATTGTACTACAGATTGAACTGAAACTGAACTGAATGGAAGTAACATGTCCCCCTCCCCTGCCCTTTGCCAGTTAAAACTATACTGTCCATCCTCCAATCTGTCTTAATGTGTGTTGATCGAAAAGAAAACCTTGGCCAAGATCTTGTGTTGGAAGCTGTAGCTATGAAGATGGAGTTCTGTCATTGTCTAGCTACATCTCTCAATACTAGTACCCCAACAATATACCATTGAGGACATCTGATGTGCTGGAGAGAAGGGCACTGAATGATGATTTATCCAGCTCTCCCCAGCAGCAAAGCATGATGTATCATGTTTCTCTGCCAGAAGCGGGAAAGACGCACCTTCAAAATCCTTCTTTGGGCAGCTGCTTGACTTCAAAGGTAGGGGAGCGGTTTTAGTCATTGCAGTGATGCCATATCTGTAAATGTGAATTCCAGTAGTTAAAATGTCATTAAGTTCAGCATAAATACTGACCAAGATGTCAGTGTACATATGTCTACTTAGAAAGAAGGCCCATTGAGTTAAATAGGACTTGGTCCCAGATAATCAGAAATGTGGTAACAGTGAGGAGGGGGGCAAAAAGACATTACCACCCCCAACAAGAATTCTGCCCCCACCCTCACAAAACTTTCTGTCAGTCCCCAAATTTATAGGTTTGCAGTTAGGCATTTAGAAATCCAGATCAGGCAACAAAGAAAGGGCTATGATAGACTCCCACCAAACCCTAACACTAATGCTTCACAAGCTTACTAAAATACTGGACATATACAAAGAACTGGTGTATCTACAATTTTGGTGTACCTGAGATCATTCTCAATTTTGACACATTTGCTGACACCATTCAGGCAGGCAGTGTTTAGTTGGAGAAAATTTAGAAATCTTGGCTTTTGAAATCAACAAATTTAAAGGAAATTTTATCTTTATATGGATTTATCTTTATATGAGTGTTTCTAGCTTTTATTTGGCCATGCCCTACATTTTCCCTTATGTGTCCTACATTTTATGGTGCCTTGTCCTTTGTGATTATGACATCTGGTCACTTGGGTGGGATGTCAGTAGTGAATTCCCCCCATGGATCTGTATTGGGATGCGTGTATTTTAAGGCTGCATCTGCACTGCAGAAATAATCCAGTTTGACACCACATTAACTGCCATGGCTCCGTGCTATGAAATTCTGGGATTTGTAGTGGTGGCACTAGAGCTCTCTGACAGAAAACTAAAAGTCTCACAAAAATACAATTCCCGGAATTCCATAGCGTGGAGCCAAGGCAGTTAGTGTCACACTGGATTATTTCTGCAGTGCAGATGCACTCTTAGTCTCAAAGGTGCCACAAGATCCCTTTGCATTCTGATTTTCCAGATTAATACAGCTACATCTTTGATATTTACTAGAGCAGGGGTAGGCAACCTTTTTGAGCCGGGGGCCGGGTT